CGAATCTAACAGGGGGTGATTGCAATACCCAGACCAGGAAAGTTTAAAAGATTTGATAGGTACTACTCATACCAACAAGGTGCACCTTCTTTTCCGGAAGTCCATCGTTAGAAACTCCACAATTAAGCATTCTTGGGTTGGAGCAATTCTATAATGGGTGACCCCCTGGGAAGTTTTCTCGGAGGACGTGCGAGTGAGGACAAAGCATGGTGAAAAGGCCCATGTGGGTACAGTACGTTGTCGATCTAACGGTTGGGACAGCTCGTTAAGTGGGACCCGACTCGTTACAATAAGTCTCAGGAGTTGAGTAGCGCACGTCATACAAGCCTTGAGGCAGGACTGTGAGGCCTACGCCTCCAAAAACTACCTCATAATTAAGACCTTGAGGCCTTTATTGCTCACATTACTCTATGTTGGGCCTCAATTGGTTTGTTTTAAACCATGGAATAGGTGGATGACATATAAAAAGCAAATTATTTTGACACATCAAAGTAACCCTATTGGACACCTTTATCAGACATACCTTAAAGAAAAATATCTTTATGTTTCAATGGAGGGTATACAATTTTCCTGTTGACAAAGACTAGGGTGAACGGGTGGAGTTGTAGCAAAAAAAAGAAAAAGAAAGAAAAAAGATTAGACAAATATTAAAATGGGGGCAGTCTTTATTATTTTTGCAATCAAAACAAAGAAAAGGGGAAGTCAGGATCTAAGATATCCATGGAACCAAAAATCTACTACAGGAAGCACATCCACGGCAGGGAACCAGCAACAAGGCTGCTTGCATGAGAAGCTTGAGGATAAAAAAAAAAGGTGAAGACTAGGGAATAAAAAAGAAACTAATTTCTACGGAAGACGTAAAAATGAAATAAAGCAGAACGTAATTTTACCATCCCAGGCGCGAGCCAATCTAATTTTAACTTGCCCATTACTTAAAGTTGTTTTAATCATAAAATTGTGTTTGAACTTCTAAATTTTGATAACGCACTTCTGTGCTTGTGGCCAGCAGCCTGGAACACATCATTCTAACAAACATTCCTTTTGCCAAATAATACCCTTTTGCACTTTTGTTAAATGGTCAAAGATCACAAGTGTTTCTAACCCTATATTGGTAAGTTGAGTCAGTATTTGTAATATTATGGCAACAAGCAATAAAATTACTTGACATAACTGAATTTTTGCAAAGGAGATAGTGCAATATAAATTTAAGGGTACAAAAATAGATTCTCAAGAATTCTCACCTTCTTTTTAATCTTTCCACCAGGTAGACGTTTTACTTCTTCCTCCTTAGGTTTAGAAGAACCAACTGCAAAAAATGGAGAAATAAACCAAGAAAGATGGTCATTTAAGTTATAATATTGAAATAGAAGCAAAATTTAGACAATCCCAAAGATGAAACAAGAGTATATAATGCTAATTGATGTTCAAAACATGAATGATTGGTCTGTGAATCCAACAGCCAAGATTAATGATATCAAATACAAGCATATCACGACTGGATTAAAAATCTAATGAAACTGCAGTTCTGCAATTCAGTTCATTCCTGGAGTAAATTTTTGACACACAAACATAACAAGAGATTAATAAAGAACTGCAATTTTGATTTATTATACTATTCAACTCTAAATTCTTTCATAAACATTAGCAATCAGAACAAATTTAATACTGAAAACATAGCATATAGAAACAAAAAAATATAATACCGCGATAGAATGTATTCTACATACATCTGTGCGTATTTGTGCGTGTTTAGGTATGCATATATTACCGCCAGAGATTGAAGTGGACTGAAGCTGATCAGATACTTTATCAGCGTCTTTCACATCAGCCTCTGAAAATAAAACAACAATAAATGGATTATCAAATTCAGAATGACGAAATCAGAAGCGCCTTGTGTCTACAAAAGGGATAGAGTTAGGGTTTCAGGGCAACCTTTTAGAAGATCTGGGTAGAGATTCGGTGCGTTCTGGATCAACCATGGTTTGCACTTCTCGAAATCAGGCCCAAACTCGCAGTACTCCGCGGGTAATCCGCACTCTCCGCAGTATAAAACTCGAACAGGCTGGGGCTTCTCCGCCATTAGTTATGAATTCACTCGCCCTCGCTCTGTAATTCGTGGTCGGTTATAAAAGTACAGAAAATTAGAAACCAAGTGTCAAATGTTTAGGTCGAATAATGTGGAGAAATTATTCAAAATACCCCAAATTCAACAATACCCTTTCCAAAATACCCTTTTACTATTTTAAATTTAAAAATTTAAAGTTCCAAAAATACCCACAATATGAAATTTTACAAAATAAGTCATTCTACTATTAAATAAATTTCACTTTAGTCCTTAAAACTTTAATTCTAATTTTGGATTCGACAAAATTATTTGCCCCTTGCAATAAAAAATTAAATTTTCTTCACCATCAACTCTTTCCACCTATCTTGAGCCGAAAAAACTTGATATTGATTAATAATTTTATTTTTGAATTTTTGCATTTTAGGTCCAATAAAAATGGTATCAGAGCCCTATATCTTGAGGATTTAAAGACATTAGAGAATGGA